ATCAAAGTTAACAGGTTTGACTGGCAATTTCGAGGCCTTCGGGTCTGAATTTCGAAAAACGGACTGCGAAATCGGATTTGGAACGTTGAAAAATGTAAGGATAGGTATACTTGGTTAAAGTCAAAGGTCGTTTAATGCCCGGTCAAAGTCATTCAAAGTTTTGGTCAACTGTGGTCAACGCCAGTCAACGGTCAACGGGTCGGGTCAACGGGTCGGGTCGGGTTGTAATTAGTTAAACCGGTCAAATTCGTAATAAAACCGGTCAAACCGGGCATTTAGACCATCCCCACGTGCAGTGGCGGCGCGTGGGGCCTCTTCCGGCAGCCTAAAAATCACGGAAAAATTCTTAAAATTTTTTTTAACCGATTTCGAGGCACTTACAAAGCTCGGTTCACAAATTTGAATGGTGGAGTGCTAGATTCTAACAAATCGGAAACTTTAACCGCTTTACCTCCTCACGCTCTACCGTCGACGGAGACCAAGGATGACACCGGCGAACTCGGAACAATGCAAGGAACACGATGGTGCGGGAGGTGTCGTAATCGGATCATCGTGAATCGACGAAAAACAATTGAAATCGAGTTATTACCGACAATATTTCCGACTGAAAGGCGACGATTCACGACGAAAGGTTTGAGGTTTTTTGATTCTCGGTTGACAACGAACACAATGGTGATTTTGGCTCATCGATCGGTGGTCGGACGACGAGTAGATCGGAGTTGAAAGAAGGGTTGAGGGGAGAGGGAAAACTGGAAAAAATAAATTCTGCAGCACGGGGAGGGGGTTATAAATTCTCTCATAAAGGAAAATGGCTAAATTATGAGTTTAGTCACTGAACTTCCTGCACTTCTTAAAATTGTATGCCAACTTTACGATTTTACAATTTAATCCCTAATTTCTTTCAAAAATACTAATTAAATTCATCACTTTATAATTTCTTAATTTTAGCCCCTAAATTGGGGTGTTACATCCTAGGAGATATTTACATAAATTGTAGAATATTTACATAATCCCTTAATTAAAGGATATTTACAGAATCATATATTTCTATAATTCCTACACTCCCCCTCAAGCCGGAGAATATACATTGTATAATCCCAGTTTAAATAGGAATTTATTGAAAACAGGCTTTGGCAAAGCCTTAGTAAGAATGTCTGCAACTTGTTCTTCTGAAGGAATGTATGAAAGTGTGGTTATCTTTTTTTTAACTTGATCAGCAATAAAATGCCTATCAATCTCAACATGCTTTGTCCGATCATGTTGAACTGGGTTATTGGCAGTTTGAATAGCAGATTGATTATCACAAAAAACTTCAAAGTGATCCTCTTGATTAGTGACAAGTTCTTTCAGTAGTTTAAGTAGCCAAATTCCTTCGCATATTCCCAATGCTAGTGCTCTGAATTCAGCTTCTGCACTACTTCTTGAAACAACAGATTGTTTTTTACTTCTCCAAGTTGTAAAGTTTCCCCAAACAAAGGTGCAGTAGCCACTAGTGAATCTCCTTTCAGTAAGGTCTCCGACCCAAGTAGAATCTGTAAAGATCTTAATAGTTCTGTCTTGTGTCTTCTTAAACATTAAACCGTGTCCTGGAGTTTTCTTCAGGTACTTGAGAATTCTATTTGCTGCTGCCATATGCTCTTTAGTAGGATTAGTCATGTGTTGACTTATCACATTTACAAGAAATGTTATATTTGACCTTGTCAATGATAAATAAATTAGTTTCCCAACTAATCTTTGAAATTTCTCTTTGTTAAATTTCAAACTTGCCTCCATTGGTGTATCATTCGGCTTACAACCAAGAAAACCAGTTTCTTTGAGTAAATCAAGTACATATTTTCTTTGGTTGATCACAAGTCCTACTTTTGACTTTGTCACATCCATTCCTAGGAAATACCTTAGCTTTTCCAAGTCCTTGGTTTCGAATTCTTTATTTAACAACTTCAAATTGCAAATATATTCTTCATCATCTCCGGTAAGAATTATGTCGTCCACGTACACAATAAGGTTACCTTGATGAAAAGAGTATGATCGACGAGGGACTGCTTGTAGCCGTTTTTTAAGATGACTTTAGTGAACCTCTCGAACCAAGTTCTGGGTGATTGTTTTAACCCGTATAGAGACTTGTTGAGCTTGCACACCTTGTTACTTCCTTCAACAGACTTTAAGCCAGGTGGCAACTTCATATAAACTTCTTCTTCTTCTAGCTTGCCATTAAGAAAAACGTTTTTTACATCAAGTTTGTGTAATTTCCAATTGCAATTTACAACAAAACTTAGGAGTACTCGAACAGTATTCAGCTTTGTCACAGGTGCAAAAGTTTTTGTGAAATCTATCTCATATGTTTGTGTAAAGCCTCTGGCCACTAGTCTCGCTTTGTATCGTTGGATGCTACCCTTGGAGTTATACTTTACAGTAAAGATCCATTTACAGCCAACAACCTTTTTTTCTTGAGGAATGTCCGTAACGGTCCAAGTAGCATTTTTCTCTTGTGTACAAATTTCCTCTTCAACAACCCTTCTCCATTTTGAATCCTTTAGAGTTTCAGCTATGCTTGTGGGAACCTGTTCTTTATCCAATTTTGCTGTAAATGCTTGAAAAGACCACATCAATGAATTATAACCTGCAAATTTTTCAATAGGATGCTTGATGCATTGTCTAACCCCTTTTCTAATAACAATAAGGAAGTCATCTAGAGTAGGGAAAGTGAACTTACTGATTTCTTCTTCTATTTTGGCAGCTAGACTCAAATCCAATTCTCGGCAAGTATCAGATTGCAAAACAGCCTTAGGAATATGTTTTCTTTTCCTTGTATAGAAACGGAGCTGTTTGATTGGTGTTGTTTGTGGAATATTTTGAATGGGAGTATGTGTATTTTCAGGAAGGGTATTTAAAGTGGGTATGGGTGAAGTAGTGATAGGTACTACCGGTGGATCAATGGGAGTAGTTACAGGTGACAAATCTGTAGGTAAGGACAAAATTGGTGGCAATTCTGAAGGTTAAGAATGAAGAGTTGGAGGAGATACTTGATGTGGCTGAAAATCCTTCAATGTCTCCCCCTGAATTTCAGCCTTAGTGAAATAGAGATCCTGCTCATAAAATGTTATATCCATAGTGATAAAAAATCGTTTTGAAGGAGGATGATAGCATTTATAACCCTTCTTAAGTGAAGAATACCCAACCAGTACACACTTTAATGATTTAGGATATAACTTGGACTTATTAAGAGCAATGTTTTGTATAAAAACAGTACAACCAAATATTTTAAGTGGAAGAATGGAGGAGATAGGTTTAAAATGGGGAAAGTATTGCAAAAATATAGATTGATGTGTTTAAAATTGTAAAACCTTACTAGGCATTCGATTGATTAAATATGTGGCAGTTAATAAGGCTTCCCCCCACAAATATTTTGGAACATTAGTGGTAAATAGAAGAGAACGAGTAACTTCAAGGAGGTGTCTATTTTTTCTTTCGGCAATACCGTTTTGTTGTGGGGTGTCAACACAAGAACTAATCTGAACTATGCCCTTTTCTCTGAAAAGCGCACCCAAAGACTTGGCAAAAAATTCACTGCCATTATCAGATTTAAAGAGCTTAATTTTAGACCCAAATTGAGTGAGAACCATGTTATAAAATTGGGTTAAAATACCAGCAGTTTCAGATTTATCTTTTAGCAAATCATCAATACAATTATCAACATTCTTCACCCGAGAAGGGCCCCAAATATCACTGTGGATCAAAGCAAAAGGGTGAGAATGCTTATATGTAAAAGGAGAATAAGTTGATTTAGTATGTTTGGCAAGAGAGCAAAGTTTGCAAGAAAAAGAATTTGCCTTTTACGAATAAATAGAGCAGGAAAAACTTTTGCAAGATAGTGAAAACTAGGATGACCTAAACGATAGTGCCATAACATAACATTATCAACTTTTTCTAAAGCAGTGAAAGATTTCGAGATTTCGATTTTAGTAGAGGCAGGAAGAATGTAGAGACCATTCTACAAGCTAGCCTTACCAATCATCTTGTTCGAGTTCAGTGCCTACAAAGTACAATCAATATCATTAAAAATTGTAGAGCAGTGCATCTCGGTGAAAAGTTTACTAACGGAAACGAGATTGCAAGCCAGATTTGGTACGAAGAGGACATTTTTAAGTACAATCTGGTCATTGAGAATAACAGTGTCATGTCCTTCTATTTTGCACAAAGAACCATCGGCCGTTTTGACAGCTTTACCAAAGTTTGGAAAAAAATTGCAAAACAAATTCTTATTACAAGTCATATGATCCGTAGCACCAGAATCGAGGATCCAATTAGGGGTCGACTGGGAGGAGAAAAAACCGTAGCATGAGGTTTACCTTCTGGTTCTTTCATGACCAGATTACCTTCTGATTGAGGAGCAGAACTAGAAAAATTTTCTGGATTCGAAGTGATCTCCGGAGTAGGAGAAGAAGTTGTGGACATCGTCTAGGTTGGAAAGAAACCGTAACCTAACCTGATACTATGTAAAAATCAGAGTAATTCTCTATAATTTCTTATTCTTTTCAATAGGACAGATTACATATTTATATACAAATCATCTCTAAAGTAGGAAACTCTAAGAAAGGAAAAATACTAATCCTAGGAGATATGATCCCTTAAAATAAAGGATTGTAGAATATTTACAGAATCCCTTAATTAAAGGATATTTACAGAATCATATATTTCTATAATTCCTACAATTTTCATCCCTCATTCTCTGCTTACCTATCAGTTAAAAGTTATTCTGTCTCGGCTTTCTCATTTAATTGGTCCCTTTTTCGTTTATTAAATTGTAAATATGTTTCTTCAATGCTCGGTTTTAAAAGTTAATAGCAATTTCATTGTTATGAAATATGGCATTGAATACTAGATATTCTTGTCTATAATGAAAAAAGATTGATGATTCCCTGTTCTTCTGATCTTAGTCTTATTTCGTTTGGTTTTACCATCCTTAATCCTTTAACTTCTATGGATGGCCTTCCATGTAGGCCGAGGATGCAACAATTGCTGCGTTGAAGAGAGCATTGGGTGCTCTAAACACTCATCTCGCTTACAACACTTACCTGGTCGGACATTCTGTGACCCTTGCTGATATTGTGATGACAATGAGCCTTTTTTTGGGTTTTACCCATTTGATGACCAAGAGTTTTATCTCGGAATTTCCTCATGTCGAGAGGTACTACTGGACAATGGTTAATCAACCGAATTTTAAAAAGATTATGGGCGAGGTCAAGCAGGCAGAATCTGCATTACCCATTCCTTCTAAGAAGCCATTGCAGCCAAAAGAAGCTAAACCAAAGGTCAAGGATGAACCAAAGAAAGAAACCGAGAAGGAGCCTGCAAAGCCCAGAGCAGAGGCTGCGGAGGAGGAAGAGGCACCAAAGCCGAAACCTAAGAATCCTCTCGATTTGCTGCCTCCAAGTAAGATGGTACTGGATGACTGGAAGAGGCTGTACTCTAACACGAAGACAAACTTCCGTGAAGTCGCAATCAAAGGTATCCCACATCCCGACTTGACTTGTTTGTTTCCCTCTTCTTCTCAACATGATGATTATCGTTGGTATAGGATTTTGGGACATGTATGATCCTGAGGGATACTCCCTTTGGTTCTGTGACTACAAGTACAATGAGGAGAATACAGTATCATTCGTCACTCTGAACAAAGTAGGCGGGTTCCTGCAAAGAATGGATTTGGCACGCAAGTATGCATTTGGGAAGATACTGGTGATAGGCTCCGAAGCGCCCTTCAAAGTCAAGGGACTCTGGCTTTTCCGTGGGCAGGAAATCCCCCAATTTGTGATTGACGAGTGTTACGACATGGAACTTTACGAGTGGAAGAAGGTCGACATCTCGGACGAAGCCGAGAAAGAGCGCGTGAATCAGATGATAGAGGACTACGAGCCATTCGAGGGTGAACCGCTTTTGGATGCCAAGTGCTTCAAGTGATTTGCATTTGCTGTTGATTTCTTAAACTCGTGTTTCGGGCTTTGGCATTTGCTCGGTGAATGTATGTTAACTACTTATCTCATAGTTGTAATTCTAATCCATGTTTTAATGTCACACGAGTCAAGCTCTCACACAGTAAAGAAACATCTAAAGCTCTATGTCATCTATTTCTCTATACCTCTGGTTTGAAAAAGATGGGAGTACTTCAATTGTGCATTGATTGTTCCTCTAGGTTAATTATATATGTTTAATTAAAAAAATGGTAAACTATCCTATTAGTCATTGATTTTTGTTTTGTGTATCCTATTAGTCATTGATTGTTCCAATAGGTAAATTAGATATGTTTAATTAAAAAATGGTAAACTATCCTATTAGTCGTTGATTTTTGTTTTGTGTATCAATTTGGTCGTTAAACTTTAAAAGGTTTCAATTTAACAATTTAACTTCTTATATTAAATTCTTTTGGCTATTAGGTCGTTAAATCGTAACATTCAAATTTTTATCTACATTTTGATTTTCGAAGGTTTACATAATATAATTGAGTTAATTGTATTATACGTTTTTATCTACATTTTGATTTTCGAAGGTTTACATTCAAATTGGATTTATTTTGAACTAATCCTTAATATTTTTAATATTTTAATTGCATCCTAAAAAATCATTTTATTCTTATAATTTTCTTAATTGACCACCAGACTTGACCTTTTTTCTGTTTCTTTCATCCCTTTTCCTTTAGTTAAACGGAGTCCTGTTACTTTTTATTATTTTAATTAGTTTTTTGTGTGTGAAAATGTTGGATAATTTTATCTACTATAATAAAACATTTTTTTATTTTCTTGTAATATATATTTTTTTCTTTTTCTTAAGATTAAATTTTACGTCTACTCTTTAAATTTTGATAGCATTTATTTAATTATATTTTTTATTTATCCTTATTTTGTACTTTCAAATTAGATATCGATAAGAATTCACAATCATAAAAAAATAAATTGTAATTGAATTATGATAATACTAGTTTATCAACAAGTCATTATTGTTATTATATGTATTTTTATATGTCTAATTTATATATTTTAATAATTTTAATTTATATGATTAATTTATCTTTATATATATAAAACGGCTTAACTCGAAGTTTGGTCAAAGCATTGAGCCATCATCGAGGACATTTTCCCATTGTTTTTAGTTGGATAAATTCAAGGCCTGAAGATAAAATCCTACGCGGAGAATTCAATTTGATATTTTTTTTTGGGAGAGATTCAATTTGAATATAAATATATAGGACCGGGCATTGGGCAACATTGCAAAAATCGGCATCTTTTGTCAGAGAAATCTGGAAAATTGTAGGTCGAGAAAAAGATCGATTCCTCTTTCTCTGCCGCGGGAAAGAGAGTGAGAGAATGACAGGAATTTCAAGAAGTAGATCGGTTCGTTTTCTACTGTTTTTCGCTTCCGTTCATCTACAACTCATTCCAGGTTTCTTTCTAAATCGCTTTTTGTTTTGTTGTTGTCGTTGTTTGAAAGACACTTGTATTTTTTAATTGAAATATCATTCTATTCTGGTCTGCATTCGAATCATTGATTGCGTGAAAATCAAGTTTATTTGTATTGTCAATTCGTACAGTTTACATGTTCGAGAATGCAGATCAGACAATTTTATTTATTGATTGGTTTTTTTAGTAATTATTAATATTATCTGTTTGGCTTCAAGGAAGTTAACATCGAACGAACATGAAAATCAGAGCATTTTGTATCCATCTTTACCAAAATTAAATTCTAAACTTGACTTTTTTTCTCTCTTTTCTTGAAATTTTTGCTAGGATAAATCTGCTACGTAGCGGTATAAGTTGGCAATTAGGATTTATGTAGCATGATTAAGTTTTTGGTTCAAGGTTCAAATTCAACCCTCTTAATCCAATATCCATGAAATTTTGGGAAATTATGGTGTCTGATTTAACGGAGTCGACGTGAAACTATTGCGTCTTATTCCTTCTTATTGTTGTACTTGCTTTTTTTATCCTTCATTGAATTTTTTTGCAGCTGAATTCGATTGGATTATGGATTAAGTAGCTGTAACATCAAAAGTAAAGGTTGTTCATATTGAACCTGTTAAACAATTTGCTCCGATATGTTTCCTTTTTTCAGGTTTTTCTGATGACTCCACAAGCTCAAAAACCAAGCCTGATACAAATAATAATACTGCGACCATAATAGTCTTTGTACTGTTCGGGCTTGTTGCAGTAGGGTTGTTTTCGTTTTTCCTTTACAAGTTGTGGCAGAAAAAGAAACGAGACGAACAATATGCCCGTCTTTTGAAGTTGTTTGAACAAGATGATGAACTCGAGGTTGAACTAGGCCTTGGGGGCTGAGAGCATCGTTGTAAAATCAGCTTGTCCTATTTGAGGTGTGTACGCAAACTTTTTCGGTGGTCCTCAATCATCTAGATTCAGTTACATCCGTTCTTTTGTTTGTGAGGAAGAAATAATTTCTAATCATCCATGCATGTATTCTAGTGGTTGACATAATGATCGAATGTAAATGAAGAACTTTGTAATCTTTTATGCTGATATGGAACTTTGAGCTTCAATACACTCGTGCATGTTCAAAGCTTGAAACTCAAATATCTATATCCATATGCATCTGTCAGTCTGCTTTTCGAGTTTTTATGATTGTTGTCATCTGATGACATTTTATTGTTTTGCATTTTATCCTCGTTTTATGTTTATTCTTTTACCTTCTGTTATGCAGGCCAAAACAGCATCGCTGCTGGTGTTGTTTTAGAGAAACCGGTTTTCTAGTGGCCATAGATCAGGATTTAAGCAAACCCTTTGGAGAGGTCAGATAAAATTCCAAACATAACTTGTACTATTTGTAATGATAAAATGAGATTTTATTATGAATTTTAAGGTTTGTGCTTTACTTTGAAAGGAGATGCATAAACTTCAGTAAAAGAGGTCAGAAAGGTTTTGTGAAATTAGATGCAATCACATTTTCAGAGTCGAGATATCGGTCCTGTAGTGGTTGTGGTTGAGTTCCCTTCGCTGTCTGCCTGATTGAATTTAATAATTAAACATTCGCTTGTGACTACAAGTGTGTACCATACAAAAGATGAAGCTTGAAATGAAAAACAACCTTATTTCTTGTGATTGCTGTTGGTACGAACAGGGTGTGATTTAATCTTCGAACTACAATGATTGATCCATTCATGCTGTATAATCCATTTATCTATAGGGAAGATAAATTTCTATTCAATTTTTTAGGATAAACTATACGATTAGTGCCTAAACTACTACTTTTGTTTCATTTTGGTATCTAAACATTATTTTTTTTTAAAATATCATATATAACGTTTAGTTTAAGTTTCATTTTGGAACCTGCCGTTAAAAATTTAACGGTGATATTGGCGTGTTACTATAAGGTAATGTCATGTCATTATTGAAAAAATTAAAAAATATCATATTAACAGTTTTGTTAATTTTTTAATGGCGGATATCAAATTGAAATTTAAATTAAAAATAATGTATGAATTTAAAATATATATATATATATAAAATTTGGTTACCAACGGAATAATAATAATAGTTTAGGTATTAAATGTGTAATTTTATCTTTTTTTTTATTAAAATTGTTAATGAAGTAGAAAATTTTAATCTGAAGTGGATTTGATGGAGGGAAATGTTAATCTGAAAATTTTATAATATATCGCAAAAATAATTTAATAAGATATAATACTATATGATGTAAACATTATAAAAATAGTCTATGTATAATAAAATAAAAATATGAATTTAATATATTCATGAATAGAAAGTTCAAGAAATATGTTTACGAACAATTAAAAATTTATCCAAATCATAAACAAGCATGATTCTATTGTTTTAGATAAAAAAATAATTAAATATAAATATTATAAATTATATTATAAATAAATAAAATTAACATAAAATTTTATAATTTCAATAGAAATTAAATTTAAATAAATAAATGTGTAGTGAACTAATAAATAAATTCATGAATGAACTTTGCTCAAAAAATGTAACGAAATAAAATATATATATCGGTTCAAACTCATTTGTCTGATAAATATATTATTTCATATTCATTATTGAAATAAATAAATGAACATAAATCAAGAATATTAATTTACAGTCCTATCTTGTATGCACAATTTTACTTTGTTCTGTTTGCTTACCAAAGAATTTCTCAATTTTCTAAGATATGGACCAAAAGATCCCGCACCTGGAAACGTAAATTCTACCGAGAATAAAATTAACAAACGGTAAAAGACCTGTTATCAAAAGATATTTCAATTCTTATCGAAATTTAAATATATTCAATAACATTCATCTATTCTTTGATAAGTAACATTCAATATTATCAAATAGTGACAATTTAAATATATTCGATTACTGAATTTATTGAGTAACCCCAATAGTTAAAGAAAGTATTATTTTCTATTGAAGTTTCGAGTTCAAACAAATATGTCTACAAGGTGTGTTTACGTCGTTAATGATTAAAAAATATTATGAACATATACTACCTTATAATCATCCTAAACTATTCAAAAATATGTATATATATATATAAAATATATTCAATAACATTCACACTATAAGTACCCCGAAAACAAATTCCTGAAGTTCTGCAATTATGAATAGATGAATAACAAGGACACGTATACCAGTTCAGTGCCAGGCGGGGAAGATCAAAATAAACACAATAGAGAGAATATTACTTATTATCAAATCAAAATACAATACAATGACTGATAGTATCTTATATTAAAAGGCATGCATACGTAGAAATATGCATGAAAATTGTCAGTGCAAAGGATATTCGAGTAAATTAGAGGTTACGAGACGCGGAAGCGGAAAGAACATGGCAAAAATAAACTATGGGAGAGGTTATTCATAGTATAATCAAGAAGAGTTGTCAACTCTATGGAGAGGATGAGAAGTTGGAAGACAGGATCAATGGAGAAAGAGACCGCCGATGGTCTCCATCGCCGTGCAAAACTGACAGGAGTTTGACTAGATCTTCCTAATTCAACATCCCTAAGTTCCTGATCAAACCACCACAAAGCCATCATGATTTCAATTAATAAGATGTATCATCGGTAAGGTCATCTTCCTGTCTTGGCCCGTTTCATCCCGGTACTGTTAAAGGGTGACATACTTGGGCTCATTCTCGGACTCTCTTCCCGTAATGTACCATTTAGTAAAGCCAACTCCCTAAGCTGTTGTTTCTTGTAGTCATCCAAGGATTCATCCTGAAGACGGTTGAAAAGGAAGGGTTAAAAAGAACACAAAATAAAATAAAATAAAAACACAAATTGCTTTGTTTGTACCACAGGCTTCAGAAGATTTTCTAGTATTCCAATAGCATAGTCCAAACGAGAGTTTATCGCATCCTCGGGAAATTCAGCCTCCAACAACACGTGCAGCGGCTCGTTAAGATGTTCATATCCCGGTTTATCTTTCAGTTTCTCTTCCTATAGAAAAGTCATCAACCAGTAGTGCAAATTTTAAAGAAAAGTACAAATGAATAACAACAATTGAAGCAAAACACCAATGGAAAACTCAATCTCATATTTATGTTGAAAATATGAAATTTCATCTCAATTCACAGTTCACTAAGCGACTAATGATCTATCTTTAACTAGGTAACAAGTTACTTCATCCGGAAACTAGGAATAATACTCAAGTTCGCTTAGGAGTATGTCAAATGCAAATGGAGACGCACACATCAACAGTATATATAAAATAAGATGACCAATTTTCATCTAGCCTACTATTTACAATGCCCTTTAGAAAATGGTTTGGAAGGAAAGATATAAAAAAGTAGGATATATAGGATATCATACTCCTATGGCTAGCCAAACAATCAGCCACCGACATACTGCAACCAACTAAGAAAATAGACAACGCTTCCATTATAATAAGAATCTAAACAAATGACCATAGGACTTGACCTATGATATAGGTCCAACTGCAGAATGTGTTACCAAAATTACATGTTGGTATTAAAAGAATTCATACCTTTACCGAATCCTTGACAGAACCCTTGCCTCTTATGTACACCCTACACTCTGTCACAGCTTCAACTCTCTTCAGGGAATTCCCACGTGGTCCCAAAATTCGGCCAACAAAGTTATACTGAAAAGCCGCGGAGTCGTAAATGTTAACTTAAAAGGAAATAAACGAAAATCTTACTTTTGAAATAGCTTACATTTGGATATTTATCCACGGGTACATCAAGTCTAACAACCCTCTTTACAATTGGTGTTGTAGGGACTCCCCGCAAACCAGGCCAACCCATCGATGCATCTTGAATTGAAGCAACTCGTTGTATAAGCTTGTTTTCCTGAAGCAAGAAATTTTCAATAAAGGAACTTTCCATTTTCCTTTGATTTAACATTAATTGGAATCAAATCATTGATCTTAAGAACAAATGGGCATATAAACATTAAACAGAATTACCTCTGTTTGCATTGCAGACCATCCCTCCATATCCATCTGTCTCCCATTAGGATGTTGAACCAACGACCTTAAAGGACTATCATGCTCAAATCTATCATGATCCGCAAAACCGGGATTAAGACCTGAGACCCTTTTAATCTCTGCAGCAATGTAAGAAAAAGAAAAAGTGACTCCATATGTTGTCCAGATCGTCTTTGCCAGTAAATGTCATCATCTGGATTTATGATTGATTACATGCTTTAGTACAACTCTCTAGTGGCATCCCTCCGGTTTGCTCACTTTAAAAGCACATAAAAGAGTGTAGAAATATCTAGCTAAAGAATATTTCAGCTTGTAATCACTTAAAACCAAATGTAGCCAGTTAAGAATTATAATATAATAGGACAATTATATTTGTATGGAGTGGATTATCCTCGAAAGAAAAAGTACCAACAGAACACTAGGATAACGAGTCACCGATAACAATCTAGAAGAACGAAACATACGTTCAACTAGAAGAGGATTATCCTTCAGAAAGTTTATATGAACATGTATGGATAGGACAGCTTATAAGAATGATTTCCATTCGACCACAGAGAGAAAACAATCACACCCATTTTCTGATTATACAAATCACGACAGCTAATGGATTTTACATCAAACAAAAAGGATAAAAAAAAACAGATGATTCAATAACCTTGATTAAGAAGCCGGGTGCATAGTGGCAGAATTTGCACAAAAGGTCCCAACTTCTGTTTCTCAGCCAATAATTCAGCTAAATACCTGCCATTGTTGCTTAAATTGTAAGACAGATTGAAGAAATGCAATACATAGTAAGCTCATAATCAGAATAAAAAAAGCTCAAATTATGAAACCAAAAAACAAGAAAACCATCAATGATTAGAGTAAAGAATTCCAAAAATTAAAAACAAAACATGGGATTCGATTGACTAAAGTAATTCAACATAAAAAAGGGCAAACCTTTCACGATCTGAAGGAAGCGAAGGCCTGTGAGGAGAAGCATGGAGTCCAGAAGGTGGGTACTGGAAGAAACTTCCCGGTAAGATTCTTTCTCCCATCATATACACTCACCCCTTCTTAATCAATTCAACAGAAGCAAAATAAACACACACAAAAAAAAACCCAAAGTCAACAATCAAAAGCTATACATATATAAAGAATAGAGAAAAAAAAAAGGAGAGAAAATAAACGCCAAGACTTTTACTTTGATGAGAATGGCGGGTGGAGAAGCTTAAAGGGAAAGGGATAAAAGGGGCAGAGATGGAAGCAAATACTGCTGCTGCAGCTGCCCCTTTATGTGGAGAAGAGTGTCAATGAGAGATCAAAGACCTACTCCAAGAGGACTCTTCCATTCTTTGTTTTCTTCTATATATAATGTGCCCCCTCTTCAATTTCTTACCATTTAATCCCTTTTTTTCTTTCAATTTTCATGCTATTTATTTATTATAAATACTTTCCAATAATCATTGATTTGTTCTATATTTGATATGTGAATAAAATTTAATTGATAATTATGGCTTTATAGTTGATTTATTTATGATTTGGATAATTTCATTTGATTTGATAAATTTAATTTGTATCAAGTTTAGATGAGAGTTTTATTTTTTTAATTGGTTTAATTTAAATTTAATTTTAAATGATAAAAAGTAATTAAATTTATACAATAATTTAAATTAAATAAGATTAAATTCAAATTTTAAAATTTTAAAATTCGACCTCACTTAACTTGAACAAATCTAATTCGAGAGGAAGTCTACGTTTATATAAATACATTAACATATGCACCTATATTATTCTATCTCCTTACTATCATCTTTTAAATTAGAAATTTTCTTAATCATAATAAAAAAATATTTTTTTATCTTTTGTAATTACATTAAACATCATAATTTGTCTCATTTAATTAACATAAATAATATTATTTTTTACGTTTGCGTCTTCTCAAATTTAAGGAGTTTGAAATATTTATTTAAGAATTCAAACAATGAGAAGCATTCTTTCGAGAATATAAATAATATGTTTTGAAAATAATCTCATTAGACAATTGTAGGAAGACGTCGAAGAATTAAATGTTAAACTTTTAGATATATTTTTATTGATTTTGAGTGTGTTATGTGAAAAACAATTTGCGAAATAACGTTTCAATAGTGATCATGTGAATTATGTATAATCTATGACATTATGACAATAGAAAGTTGATCAACATCGGTGGCTAGAATAATTCATGGCATCAAGTTTCCAATTGAGCCTTCCTTTCTCCACGAAAACGCTATTTCGACCCAAAATGGTTCCTCGACGTTCTTCCAATGCCTCAGGTTTCATGTCTAGCAAGTCTCATCCTAAAACTATTAATTTTATCGGTAATCGAACTAAATTGTCTAAAATTGAATTAATTAAAAATTAAAAAAAAAATGTTAATCGATTTTTTTCTGTCAAAAGTCAGTTATTGAATATAAAAGTTTTTACTTATTCGAACGATAAAATTTCATTTGGATTTAGTTCTTTTTTTAAAAAAAAAACTTTTGTAGCCTATATATATATATAATTTTGAACTGGACAATGGACACCCGTATTACATAAAGATCAACAAATTATAAAATCTAGAAATAAATAGGAATCAGTTTATGATTAAATAATTTTTAGGGATTAAATTAAACAAAAATAAAACTTGAAGTATTTGATATATATATTTTTCCTTTTTCATTAAATTCGGTTGCGTTTATTTTGTCGAAAGTATTACAAAGACTCGTTCCAACTAATCAAAAAGAATTAAATAGTCTGAGATGATGACAAGAGGTAATAGTTGTTTGAACTCAATATTTATGGGGAGAACAATACTATTTTTTAAGGTCTCTTGATGTCTTGATGAATTATTAAAATAATTTTTAGTGACAATTTTGAGATAAATAAACGATGCTTACATGCTTTAAAGGCACCGTTGACAGGGAGAAAAATGTTAGATACGAAAATGAGAAAACAAGTAAAAATTAGGGGGCAAAAGATGCATTAATTAAGCCATTTATTTACCATACCACATTTGTTGTTATACGCTTATACTAAATGGAAAGATGGAATTAGACCGGAGTTTTGTGACAGAAATAACCAGAGATCAAAGTTTGTGAAATAAATCGGTATAAAATTAGATTGAAAGTATATTTTTAATTTGATTCTATCTGAATAATTACTCTAATGTCATTCTATATACGTAGAGATCGTTATTATAATATTCTTCTATATATTCTCATAATTATCTTATCTTGTTGAATAAAAATTAAGAAAAAATATTTATGTTATATTAAAAATATTTTTTTACCTAAAAGTCGGGACAAATTTAGAACGAATGCGAGTATACTTTTAAATATGTTACTAAGATTTAAGGTGAGAGAAGCTCCTCATTCTCTCTAAAATTCAGGTGTTCAAAAATTTCAGGCGTTTTCATAATTATATTCTTTATGGCGAGTAAGGCAAGAATTTCGTTAGTGTGAAACTGTGTTACGGTGATCATCTTTAATATTCAAGAGTTTATTCATCATCAAGGTCTTTGGTTATTATTCGATAAATATGGCGAGGTGGTCGATTCTTTCATTCCTAATAAAAGAAGCAAGGGAGGCAGTAGATTTGGTTTTGTTTGTTTCACAAGATTGGAGGATGCGAGGAAGGCCATCAATTGTGCCGATAGAACAGAATTCAAGGTAATAAAATTCGAGTTTTCATGGCGAGATTTCAACCTCGAGAAGCTTTCTGGAGAAAGAAGTCTTTGGGTCCAAATCCGGCTGAGGCTAAGATCAGAATGGTGGTGGATAGTCTTTATTAGGCTCCCATTGTTGGTGTTGTCGACGAGGATAAGCTAGTTTCACTTAGAGACAGTCTGGTATGATGGTGTAGAAAGTTTATGAAAATGAAAGAGCATTTCCGCTTTTATGCACAAGGAAGGTATATCAGGCCCGAAAATCATGAGGTTAAGTGGTTTAGCAATTTTAATCATTTTTGAAGATGAAGAGAGTAGGGATCATACTCTTCTTAACCAGTCTGAAGCGTTGAAAATTTTCTTTGACAAAGTGGAAGTGTGGTCGGAGAATTTCCAGTGTTGCAGCCGTCGAGCATGGCTATCTTGCAGGGGGATACTTCCATTTGTGTGGAGTCATTACTTTCAGAAACATTGCAAAGAAATGGGGAGATCTCATCTCCATTGAGGAAGGAACCCTTAATCCCGGATCGTTTGATAGGGATATGTTTCAGATTACAAAGAACTGTAAAGCTCGTGTGGAAGAAACAATCGATTTGGTAGTTGGGAAAAGGATTGTTTCAGTATTTGTTTTTGAGTTTGAACCCTGTTTTAGCCCAGATTCTGTTTGGGAAGATTCGTCTTCGATGGCTTGGGATGTTGCCTCTCCGGCTCCATGGTGAAGGAGATAGTCGAGGTATCTTCAGAAAATACTCCCGATTTAGAGGTTTGTGCTGGTATGACTACTCAATCTTTTCGTGCTAACTCACATATGGAGACTGATCAGGAAGAGCTTCAAGATTTTCTCGATGGCTTGACTGTTGTTGGTGGATCGAGGTGTCCAATTATGGAGAAAGCTGGTGTTGGTCTTCATTGTGAAGAGTTATGGGCTCAAGATTTAGTACCCCAGGCAGTGCGTTATGGGGTTAATACACATGTTTTACGGTGTCAGAGTTGTGATGCTTCTAATTCTTCAGAGACATCTTGTAGTGGGCTCGTGGTCGCTGAGTTGGAGCTATGTGTTGCCATAGAAGACAATGTGCATGCTTGTCCGTTTGTACCTCGTGATGGGTTAGTGAAAAAGGGTTTAAATAATTGCATGGGTTTTTTTAATTCCAAGATATTAATGTAACACCCCTAACCTGTACCCGACCCGAATACGAGTCTGAGGTGTCACATTAACTTGTCAAACTTTGACTCTTGACAAAATTCAAAGAAAATTTAAAACTTTCATTAAAATAAAAGCGGTTTATTTACATAAATTGACCAAAATAACTAAAATCGATCATAGCATATTCAACTCAATCAATTAGTACATGCCAACTATAATCAAAATAATCAAACACATTTAAATAATCTATTTTCTGATCCAAAATTTTGTAAGGGAGATATTGACATGTCTTGCATTTATTCGCTTCTCTTCTCGCTTCTATAACCTACGTGTGAAACAATCACATGCTAAGTCTATGACTTAGTGAGACATTAAACTTATAAAGGAAACTCTAAATGCTTAAATATGTATGAACATATCTGTAACACCCTCAACCCGTATTCGATCCGAATACGAGTCTGAGGTGTCACATTGACTTTTCAAAACATTTACTTGTATAAAATAGTGAGTAATTTAAAACTTTTATAACATATATCTTATTCAAAATGTTTACAAAACTATTCAGAGCTTATACAATATATATTATTTTGAATACATGCCAACTAGAACTTTATATATTAAAATACATATTATTCACCTTTCTTCTGATCTGACCTTTGGTAAGGAGAACTGACATGTCTTGCTCCACATTGCTCTTTACTCTTCTCACTTCGGTAACCTACGTGTGAAACAATCACACGCAAAGTCTATGACTTAGTGAGGCAATAAACATGTAATGTAACTATAACTTGTAATAATGCCATAACAATCACTGTTATCATATCATATCACTCATATCCTTATTCATGTAACAAATACCTAGAACACCTATACAATATATATTACATGTAAGAACATACACACATATACTCATCACTCATCATTTCCATCATTAGCCTTATTTTACTATCAATATTATTATCATTTATATCCCTTAAACATATCCTCTTATACCTATCATTTTAACCAACATATGACTCATTCATTCATATAATCCAAATATAATCATATAAAACATGTAATATAATTCACAGCACAAAAGCATATAAGTCACATGTAATAAGTTTATTGTTATCTCTTTATTAGCCCATATACACATGTGATAACTGTAGATATGTGAGTCTACTGAGGTTGTGCACTATGCTGTCACCACAGCTCATATGGGGTCCCACTAGGGGTTATGAATTTTGTCCCAAATGACCTATGTACTGTATTTATCCTAAATGACCACTCCTTAAGAACCATATACATATTTCAATTGATCATATATGTGTCTCACAAGACCCTGTAAATATTCCAAAGAATACATATATGTCCTGAAGGACCACGTAGAACCCTCGACTCTTGGCATGCCAACTATACCTCTAGCTCTCTTTACACATAACATGGGCATTAGCAATCTATCATGTCACATATTCACATGTACATATCACTGTTCATATGAGTTCATAATCATATGTCACTTATCTTATAACATTTCCCATGTGTTCATATAAAATGTATATCATTTTCATCTCTTGT